TTTTTGTTGTATTGGCAAGGTGTTTTAAATGGTCATATTCTTAACTCAAGTTTATTAACAGCTGACTAGCCATATTGGTGCCTATATCCTGACATGGTTCTTGGGTTCCAGTACCTCTCAATTTTAGGTGTTGAATCTGAGTACTTTGATACCCTATACATCAAAGTAACTGTTTGTATTCTATGAGTTATCTTGCATTTCAGGTTTGCAATTCAGTACAGTTTTCGAAATATACACAGGTCCTCTAAGCTCTAACAGGCCGTTTGTATGAGTTTAAAAGGTAAAAACATCATGAGGGTTAAGGGATTAGTTCAACCGAGCGCTGAAATAAACTCACTGAGTGGGAAAAGCTTAGAAATCGAAACACCCTGCTGTACGATAACTCCTGTTATTACAAGCCAAGAATAGGTTTGGATGGATTTAAAGCGTGCATTTAAATAAGAACACAAGGCCTGCACCTGTGCAGAGATCACACTCTCCGTCCTGCTGCATCTGCAGATACTGCTGTGCTGCTGTGTGCTGTGTCGAGAAGGGTCCCTTCTGAAGCCTGATGTACTGTTGTGATAAAACTTGTGTGAATGGTCTCTCTGTGCCGCATTACAGCTACAGGCGCCCAGGAATGCCGAGGGAATACCAAATCAAGGAGAAAGGGGGGAAGCTCTGTTGGTTTTTGCTAAGCTCCCTGCCTTCGCTTATTGGCAGCCTTTTGATCTACAATCTTAAAGCTCAAACAGGTAGTCGGAGCAGACCGGCAGCTGAAGGAACAATTTCCCCTCACGCTTCAGCTGAAAAAAATCAGAGAGCACAAGATTCAATCAAATCTGGACAGTTTACCCTAAAAGAGTGCTAGGAGGGCCGCTAGATTGAATATGCACTGCATTGAATATCCAGTAACAATGGCAGCTGCCTGATTGACAGTCAGTGGGAAGAATTCTTTATATTTGTGTAGGCCTGCATTGAAACAGAACGCGGTCTTAGTTCTGGACAACTACATGCATTGTAGTGAGTATGCATTGGTTTTCAAACGACTTGGGCTTTCTTAGTCAAAATAGTGTGGCATTTGGAAGTCAAGCCTCAGGGTTTGTTTTAATTGGAACGGTTCCGACAAAACACTGCCGGTATACTAATGTCTTAGAGATTAACAGCACCCAGCTAACAGAGTTCCTATTGGGACACCCATGTGGGAGGTATGAAAATTGTATGGCTGTACTGAGAAATTGCCATTTCTAATTATGTCAAATGATTGGAGAATACAACTATTTTAATCAACTAAGCATGCACTTGCATTGGCTATTATTAGGTACGGAATTATCATTATGTAGCCCTGTGTGAATTTACATAAATAGTTGTAATGTGCAAATGTTTCAAGGAGATTTGTGAATATAAGGTTAATGTGAATGTATTCAGGAGAAATGTAAGTTGCGTTTTTATTTAGCTTGGTTGAGCTACAAATATGAGCTGTGCTCCCTGAGCCGAAGAGGGTGTGAGACGATGTGTCCTGAGTTCAGCCAGCGAGTGTTTCACCTGGGGGGTGAACTCAGCCTAGCTGTTACAAGTCCCAAGCCCTAGCCACTGGTCCACCCTGCTGCTGTACAGTTATATCATCTATTATGTGTGCAATCTCAACATAAAATATTCGTAAAATATATATAAAACATATGTTTTTATATTTTCCATAAAAGCTCTCTAAAAGTTCTAGGAAAATTCATAATTCTGTATCCTTTCAAGATTTATTTGTTATTTACAGCTTTCAGAGATAGATAGAAATCCTCTCTATATTCCTAGAGATTCCTGCATTTTCTAAAATAGAAAATGACCATTTCTGCGAACATAGTCAAGTGCATTACAATTACTCTATTATACCGTACTTTATTACTGTTAGTCGATTTGTATGGATTGCAGGTTCACAGTTTCTACCATGTAATGTTAACTGAAGCAGTAATCAGGTCTGGTTTTGTGTATTGAAAAGCAGTGTTAAAATGGGACAGATTCAGAGTCTGCTCAATCACAGCGTGATGTAGGGTCTCACCTGCTGATTTGTGGAGAACATGTTTCCTGGTCACAGCACTATGTGGTGTTCCACTTTAGTGGTATCAGGTGTCAGTTTCTGTAGAATTAAAGGAAACAACGTTACCACAACTCCTCTTGTCCAATACAGGCTAAGCTTTAGCTTGTTAAATATACCTGTGGCTATGAAAGAATGTGCCCA